CCACTCGTCCCCCCCTAAGGAGACCCCTTTCTTCCCCTCCCCCCCTTGGCAATGCCTTAAAGGGTCTCCCTTTGCCTCATAAACCTTCGCCCCCCCTCTACGCTTCCTCCGCCCCAGCCCCTCGGAGCCCCTTCTCCGGCTCTCAGCCAAGGCTAGAGGCCCCCCCGGGAGGCCGCTTCTCCTCCTCCTCCTTCCCTAGGCCACTCGTCCCCCCCTAAGGAGACCCCTTTCTTCCCCTCCCCCCCTTGGCAATGCCTTAAAGGGTCTCCCTTTGCCTCATAAACCTTCGCCCCCCCTCTACGCTTCCTCCGCCCCAGCCCCTCGGAGCCCCTTCTCCGGCTCTCAGCCAAGGCTAGAGGCCCCCCCGGGAGGCCGCTTCTCCTCCTCCTCCTTCCCTAGGCTCAGGGGCTTAGCCTCCGCTCCCCCCTCCGGCGCCCCACATCGTCCCCTCTCCGGCCCAACAAGGGGACCTGCCAGCAACCCCGCCAGCGACCCGGCTCACTTCCGCGTTGTGCGGCGGAGAAGCCTTCCCCCCGGGCTCCCGGAGGCTGGGAGGCACAAAGGTTCCGGCCGCATTTTCCGGGCAGGGGGAAGAGAATTCCAAAGGGCAAGAGCGAGGAGGTGCTTCCGAGGGGCGGCTGCCCCTTCCGGTCCTCCAGTGGAGGCAGTTTAGGAATCGAGAGCAGTGGTTCCCAAGGTTAGGTCCTTAGATATCCTTGGACTACAGCTCCCAGAAGCCTTCGCCACCAGCTGGCCTGGCCAGGATTTCTGGGAGTTGTAGTCCGAGAACATCTGGGGAGCCCAAGATTGGGAACCCCTGGGTTCCAGTTAAATGTGAAAACTCAGATTGAAGCAGAAGCTTAGAGACGGCTTTTACCTGGAAAATAAATAAATATTAGCAAACCTGCAGGCAGGCAAGAAGGACCTTTATTAGGATTAACCCTAAATACATAGCAAGCAAAAAAAAAAAAGGGGGGGAATTAAAAGACAAAAACGTGGTGCCATCTTAAAGACTTACTGCTCTATTTTACTGTGAGATTTCAGGGATATCAACTAAACAGACTAAAGCTGGGGGTGGACATGTGAATTCAAATTATGCACTTGTCCAACAGAGAACATGGAGCAACATCAATACTGTGTGGTTCTACGCATGTATTCAGAATGAGCCCTACACTGAATTGAAGAGAGTTTATCAAACCAGTGCATGAGTGTCTGCACCCTTTGCAACACTTTTGTTATTGTTTAGTCAAGTCATGTCTGACTCTTTGTGACCCCAGGGACCAGAGCATGCCAGGCCCTCCTGTCTTCTACTGCCTCCCGGAGTGGGGTTAAATTCATGTTGGTCACTTCAATGATACTGTCCAACCATCTCATCCTCTGTCGTCCCCTTCTCCTCTTGCCGTCACACTTTCCCAACATTAAGGTCTTTTCCAGGGAGTCTTCTCATGAGATGGCCAAGGTATTGGAACCTCAGCTTCAGGATCTGTCCTCCCAGTGAGCACTCAGGGTTGATTTCCTTCAAAATGGATAGGTTTGTTCTCTTTGCAATCCAGGGGACTCAAGAGTCTCCTCCAGCACCACAATTCCAACACATCAATTCTTCGACGGTCAGCCTTCTTCATGGTCCAACACTTAGTTATAAGCAATCCTATAGGTATCTGATAAACAACAACATTCAGAGAAGACAAGACATGCCAGAAAATATGAGATCAGAATGGAGAATGGAATCATTTTTATGTGCTACAGAAAAGATTGGCAAGCTGACATGACAGCATTTTTTTTTATAACGAACAGCAGCTGCAACTCTGATATGTTCAAAAAAGGGAAGCTAAGCATTGCAGTGTATGAACAATGAAAAGTTTATTGGTATACGAGGTTTACATTCTTGGTGGTTTGCTGCTAAACAACATTACTGGTCTGCATCAGAAGGGCTCCAAAGTCAAAATGACCCTCAAAGTAGCAAAGTAGCTTATGCCAGTTTACAAGTACTTTGGTACTGGAATCATAGCATTTTGAAGATTTTTAAACTGCTGGTGGTTTCAAACACGTTTATTGTATAACTCATATATGAAGGGCAGCTTCCCCTCTGATGCTTCTGGGACTCATTCGGTCAAACAATCAGTTTTGTGCAGTAGCTCATGCAGTGAAAGAAGCTCGGTCCGGAAACAGACCCAATGCAAACCAGCGGGTGCAAGAGTTCCCTGAATCTCTGGCTACATAAATCAAGAAAAACGCCAATACACTTTAATACTACATTCCAAAATACAGTTTGGGGTCAGTTTATGCTATCTATTTCTTTTTGGGTCATGGGTTCACTGTTGAAACATATGCTGCATTTTTCTTTGAACTGTACCTTAAGATCCTTTCTTCTCTACAAAGATAGGGTAAAATAAGAATAACAGGATTGTTCCTGCAACAAACCATTCTTGAGCCACTTGAAATACCAAAATGTTTTATTTGGCATATGATTTCCTGCACTTTAGTCCGTTTCGTGGCATGCAAGGCTATATTCCAGGAAAGCATGTCCCCTCTTCTCCCCCCCCAAAAAAAAATCAGTTTTCAAGTGGCCGCAAGACTCTTTGTCGTTTGTTGGCCCAACACACTACAGACTAAAACACACACCCCATTATTATAGAAATAATAATTGTTTTTGTAGTGCTTAATGGTGTACTGGCAGGTTGTATAATGAATGTGAAAGCAATTCGGATGCAGGCTCAGCGATTCACAGTGCAATTCTGTGCACATTTACATAACGGGGAGTCCCACACACTGCTCAGTGGGGCTTGATCGCAGGTAAAAGTGCATCCAGATGCAACGTTATTTCCTTTATTAACCAAGGATTATGGAAATAGTTATTAATTGTTCACGTGCATGGCTATTTCCTCAACATTGGATCAGTTTCAGCAAGTAAACGATACAGGCCTGAGAACTACAGCACAGAAGTCCCGGCTGCTTGGCTATGACAAAGCTTATGAAACACAACAGAGGAAGAAAAGTGATAACACAGTAAAAGTGACAGAATTAATGACAGTAGAACGTTTTCAGTGCCTTCAGAGTCAGCGCTTATGCAAACAGGAAAATATCTTCTGAGAATCGTGGTCACTTTTCCCTGGTGTGAATTTTAAATTGTAAAATGCCTCTGAACTACATTTTTGTTAGTCAAGAAAAATCGCACCATTGGACATAATGGATATGGAATATATTTATCTCAGAGATGACGATCATTGCTTTTTGAAGCTACAGCTTCCAGAATTTCTTGGTTAAAAAGAGATCATATGCCCCACTTGAGTCGAAGAGGCAGATATTGGCCAAAATTCTATTATTTATGCCTGTCTGTGTCAGTCCATCAGGATAAATCTGAGCAGTACATTGCTGCCAGTTAAGAAGAGGTGTGTTTCCTGCTTGTGCACCAGTTATGTGACACGGTGGGCAATTAGAAACACAAATGCCAAATTCTTAACAAGCAGCAATTCACTACTGAAATTCACACCTATAGGATTATGCTGCTATAGTTACTCAATTGGATCCCAGCTGGTAGGCAAGGTGCCCACCAAGGTGTGTGGCTGCTCAAGCACGCAGTGCTGCACACCCCCTCGAGCATTTCAGTCCCTTTGGATTCCAGTCCTACAGAACCCTGGGTGAGGGGCAGAGCGCCACCCAACGGGGCTGAAAATTAGAGGAAACATTGCCAATAGGTATAAGGACCTCCCACTGAAATCAAGTGCTCTGATTTCATTCCATGTGGACTGTCTGTACTTTTAAAAGTTCTAAATCACATAAGATGGGCACAAACCGGCTGTTTGTTGGTTCGTGCTGGTTTGTTTTTCAGCTGAATAGGTGTTCAGCGCTTCCCAGCCCCACCTCCTCTGGCAGCCACCCACTCCGAGGCAGTGCCTGGAGGAGGCGGGGCAGGGAAGCCTGGGCAGGGCTGGGAAGCGCCAAACATCTGTGTCTGGCCAAAAAAACAAACCGGCATGAAACGTCGAACCAGGATTTTGTGCCCATCTCTACATAAGACCAACAAACTCTCTTGCAAAATAACATTAATGCTGCATACCACTTTTGCAATTCCATTTGACGTATTTAGATTTCAGTTTACGCCTTGATCCCAGATCCATCCTTGCAACCAAGGTCCGGATCTTCGTTCCAGTGCGCTCCTCTTTTCTCTGCTACGATTCTGACAAAGTCAGCATGGTTGGCGTACAGTTTGAGTTTCTCACTAATGTCAACCCATTTTACCTTCCCAGCATCGTCTCCTGCTTCTAAGTGTAACTTATTCATTACTTCACCTGTTATGCACAGAGAAAGATGATGGTGTTAGTTTGCACACTGGCCCCTCTACTTTCTCCACGGCAAGTTCCAATGGAAAGCACATTGTCCATTCCATGCAACCTCCAATGTGGCAGGATTTCTGGTTCATCATATATCCCGGATACGGCCCTGGGATCAAAACAACTTTGCATCCAATTTGGAAAACTGATTGATTCGTTGCTTGTACTTGTACCCCAAAAGTCAACATTATAAATGTCACAGTGTAATATGTCTTGTGCTGTTGTTCATCAGAGATTGTCTCTACCTAATTTTCAGACCTGCTAAGGACTAAATGATTTTCATTACATCCTGACACATAAAACCATAGAATTCAAGGAGGATGTACATTCTTTTTCACATGACTGTAGGTTCTGCTAACTATATATAGTGTAACTGGCTTTTCCGATTCCCAGGATAATAGCTTTCAACAAAAAATGGCATCCAGTGTAGTGGTTGGATTACCAAACGGTGAATTCAAAAGACCTGGGTTCGAATTCCCCCCTTGGCCATAAACCGCACTACAAGATCTTAGCCCGTTGACAGTCAACATTAAGCAAGGGTTATCGTCAGGATGAAATGGGGAAGAGAAAGGCTATGTATGTCTTCTTGAGTTCACTGGCAGGAAGGTGGGTTCTAGCAATTATTTAGCAAGGGTATTGTGACACCGTAACCACTTACACGCTAAAGCTGATGTCAAATCAAACCAATGTTAATCTTTTTGGTGCCACAAGATGCTCTGCTGCTTTTAACTCTTTTCACGCAATCGTAAGCATGTCAGTGGAGGAAATAAGCACTTTCAACTGCCTGTTTTCTAGTAGCATAATAACAGCAACTATCTCTAACAGCACTGGCAGGATGGATAGGTCAATGGATAAGGTCCCTAGCTGTGCAGCCAGAGGTTGGGAGTTCTATTCCTCACTGAGCCTCCTAGGAGAGGAACCAGCCTGGTTAGCCTTGGGCGAGCTGCACAGTCCCAGATCGCCCCTAGAGGAAAGGAATGGTAATGCACTTCTGAATAGGCTCTACCTGGAAAACCCCCAAAAAGGGTCACCATCAGCCAGAAGTGACTTGACAACACATCATTATCATCACCTCTAATAGCAAGAAAGGAGCATGGTTACTCACCAGTTTCATCATGGTAGTTCACTGCCTCTGTCTCCATCCAAGCGTTATCTGTGTTACGAGGATCATCCACGTACCCCTTATACACCTGGAAAGCCAAGGTGAAGCAAGAAGGGTCAGGAGGGAAGAGGCTACTGCTAACTAACAAAGCACCTGCTTTATGTGTATAAGGCCTGGTTCAATTCTCAACACCTCCAGGTAAAGGCTAAGAAAGGTTCCCCGCCCCCAAACCCTGAAGAACGGCTGCCACCGAACATCACGTCATTCCCACTACACCATTAAAGGCCACCAAGAATATTCTGGCCACTGGTTTAGTCTGGGAATCCAATGGATTAGTTCATTATATGTTGCTACCATTTTTGGTACTGAATACCTATTACTAAGAAACCAGTTATGTCCCTATATATTTAAAAATAAAGCAGGATTGTGTCATCCATGGGATCAAAACCCACAATTTCACCCATCCGCCATCTGAAAATATTACATTAAAGGCACCAGAAATAAACATTTCCAACATATATTTACTACAACTGGTTATTAGAGGAAACCAGAGACGATGCTCTCTCTATAGTGTTTCTCTACCTGCACTTTTTGGTGTGGGTGGGCCATGGAACCCATCCCCGACAGACACTATAGTCCTTTCTGTGCTTTCACTGACCGCCGTACACAATATTTTATGGGCTCACCAAATGTTAAGAGAAGAAAAGAAGTCACTCACCACAAAGTGATCCTGGCTAAAAAGCTTGTTCAGCTGTCTCTCCATCTCTTCTTTCTCTGCCCCAGTTTTCTGTAAGGCGTTCAGGGCCTCCTCGCTGAATTCTCGCTTTAGTGCCGCAGACAACTTCTCTCCTGGGTCCACCATGCCCTGAAAAAGAAAGAAAGAAAGAAGAAGTAGCTATGTTCATCTCCGTTCAGGAGATATATATTTCTTTGCCAACCCTAAAATCAAAAGGCAGCTTGAAAGGAGGAGGTTATGATCCCTGGAACAACAGTACGGGGAGGAACTGAGTTTACATCTTGTTCCTGCAAGATGTTATGAAATTTTTCAAAGGCAGCAGACAATCGGGTAACCGATTTCCCAGCATCGTTGATGCCACCATTGCGCCTTTATTCACAGCCTGATCTGCTATGTAAGAATTCACAGGCTGCTATCAAGTTTCATTATGTTCTCTGCTCTCGCTAGTCTCAGCTACAGTGGTGCCTCACTTTACGATTGCCCCGCATTATGACGAAACCGCATAACGTCGATCTTTTTGCAATTGCAAAACGATGGTAGGAATGTGTTTTTTTTCACTTTGCGATGATCGGTTCCCTGCTTTGGGAACCGATTCTTCGCAAAACGACCATTTTCCAACAGCTGATTGGCGGTTTCAAAATGGCCGCCGGGTAAATAAAATGGCTCCCTGCTGTATTCTGGGATGGATTCCTCACAAGACAGCCACCTAAAATGGCTGCCCTATGGAGGATCTTCACTGGATGGTGAGTTTCCAGCCTATTGGAAGGGATTGAAGGGGTTTCACTGCGTTTCAATGGGCTTTTTATTTTCGCATTACGACGTTTTCATTCTACAGCAATTTCGCTGGAACGAATTAACATCGTAATGCGAGGCACCACTGTATTATAACTTCCTGACTCAATGGGATTGCCGCACAGGCCAATTGACCTGTTCAGCAGCTGGTCCAGCCGTTGGGATTAGCAACCGGATTTAAACTGCTGGTTAAATATTTTATTTGTCTTTCAAATGCTCAGCAAGGGAATGAACTGTGGAACATGCATGGGTTGGGCTTTTGACCTTTTGTTCCCCTAAATAAATTCTGCCAATATTTCTCTCCTTACCCCTGGGATGGCCCATTCTCCACAGTCCCTTCTTTTAATGGCGATGAACTGCAAGATATTTTTCCCGGATCCTGAGTGAGCCATTTTATTCCCACTGCCATCTCTCTTCCATCTGTAAAAAGTGACAGGACAGGGGGAGAATGTCAGCCAGTAGCAGTGCCATCAGCTCTGTGTTTCCGTTCCCCTCTCCTACTGCTAGTCATTTGTTTATTGTTATCTTTGCTTCTGGGCCACAGTTTCCTAAATTTAGTTGTAACTACACAGGTGTAATTTCAGAGCAAAACTGGAAGTGGGAGTAGAGTAGAGAGCACAGGAAGAATGCCAACAGAGTTCACACCGTGGCAGACCAGAGTTGGCATTACAGCTGAACTGATTCAGAGAACAACTGTACAAAAACGTGTTCTTCACCATGAAGAACTATGATTTAGCATTACAGCTGAACTGATTCAGAGAACTAGGGTTGACACAAATGTACAAAAACGTGTTCTTCACCATGAAGAACTATGGTGGGTGTTGGTGATATAATCTGGAAAAACTGCATCCAGATTTTTTTAAAAAATTGTTCCTAATAAGAATACGAACAAGTGAGCCCTAGATCAAATCAAGCATCAATTATCTCTGGAGGCAAAAATGTAGAAACTGAGGCTGTCCTGCTTTGGGCACATCACGAGAAGACAGGATTCTGGGAAAGGGAGGTGGGAAAGAGGAAGACCAAATACGAGATAGATTGACTCCCTAAATGAAGCCACAGGCTTGAGTTTACAAGAGGTGAGCAGGACAGTTCAGGACACGACGTTTTGGAAAGCACTCATTTGCCATTAAGTAGGGGGCAACTGACAGCGCATAACAAGAACCAGTCAGAATAAGAATCACATCACAAGGGCAAGATCAGCTACTTTTAAATGCTCTTCATTCAAAGTACCAAACATTGAGCCATGTCTGTGTTTTCTCACTGCTAACGACACCATCAGACCTGACACTGCTTACCTGGTTATAACAGGGTCAGCGGCGTGATTTGGTCCCCATCGTCCCAGCAGACCTCGGCCTGTTATTCCTGTCCTGCCTGCATTCAGAGAACAACTGTACAAAAACGTGTTCTTCACCATGAAGAACTATGGTGGGTGTTGGTGATATAATCTAGAACAACTGCATCCCGATTTATTTAAAATCTTTCTTAATCAGAATATGGACAAGTGGATCCTAGATCATATCAAGCCTAAATTATCTCTGGAAGCAAAAATGTAGAAACTGAGGCTGTCTTGCTTTGGGCAACATCACGAGAAGACAGGATTCTGGGAAAGGGAGGAGGGAAAGAGGAAGACCAAATACGAGATAGATTGACTCCCTAAATGAAGCCACAGGCTTGAGTTTACAAGAGGTGAGCAGGACAGTTCAGGACACGACGTTTTGGAAAGCACTCATTTGCCATTAAGTAGGGGGCAACTGACAGCGCATAACAAGAACCAGTCAGAATAAGAATCACATCACAAGGGCAAGATCAGCTACTTTTAAATGCTCTTCATTCAAAGTACCAAACATTGAGCCATGTCTGTGTTTTCTCACTGCTAACGACACCATCAGACCTGACACTGCTTACCTGGTTATAACAGGGTCAGCGGCGTGATTTGGTCCCCATCGTCCCAGCAGACCTCGGCCTGTTATTCCTGTCCTGCCTGCAGGATTTCTGAAAAATAAATAAAATGCTTAGGAATATGTAGTTCGGATCCGGAGAGCTAAAGAACAAAAGGTACAGATGTCATAAAAGCTTTGGGCTTACATCTCTCGTTGACTCCCTCTCCTCACTTATCTCCAGTCCTTCTGGTGTGCCTAGGACATTCTTTGGAAGTTACACATTTAACAATATGTAATTTGGTATAGTTCTATCCAGAATGGAAAGACAAGCTTGTGGCATCTGAATTATTCAACGCAAATCATGCTATAACACAAATCATACAATCTGTGCCAACTGTAATTGGTAACTGCTTTGTTGCTTTTAAGATCAGAAGCATTAGATGGTTTATTTGCATCTTTTAAAACAGTCAGCCAGTCATTCTGTGCTTCCTGTTTGTGCATGTGCGTATCAAGCATTAGATATTTGCATCTTTGAAAACAGTCAGCCATTCTGTGCTTCCTGTTTGTGCATGTGCGTATCTTTTGCTTTTCAAAGGAAATTGACACTATTTTTGAAGAGATTTCCAGAAAAAATAGCCATGTGAGTCTGTCTCAACATGGTGGCAACAATAAAAGGGAAAGAAAAAAAGACAACATGTTGCTGCCCTTCAGAAATGTAGAGTTACACTAAAAATAATCTGTTACTGAAATTTTTTTTATTTCTCACTCTTCCTCCTCTATTTTTGTGCAAAGACACTTCGCACACAAAGGATAATTTCTGCTAAACTATATGCCAAGATCAACGTCTTCTCTACCTGTCTCCTTCTCCCACACACCAGACAAACACACACATAACCGAGGCTTGAAAAATTTTAGAATGTCTCACCAGTCAGTCAAAAATGTCACCAGCCAACATAACCGGACTATAGCATTGCAATTTATGTTAACAAATTTAAACTAAGCACTTGCTCAGTTTTATTTCTACATAACAATGTGTACAAACCCAAAATAAACTGTATTACATGATTGGGAATCATTGATTTATACCCTCAGACTTGGGTTGTTTTATTACGTGCACGCCTGTGGGGTCATGAAGCTTGTGTTTTGAATGCCTTTCTTTTGAATGTCTTTAGCAAAAATAAAACTGGAGGCAAAAGCACCCGGCCTCTTAAGGATCCAGGGTTCCCTCTCACCCCAGGATGTGTCCTCATTCGGTTGAAATTGGGAGCAGGGAATCTCCATATTCTCCAGCATGGGACTACTCTACATTCTCCTGCAGACCTATATCTCTATGTACTGCTCGAACTCTCCTCTCCTGAAAAGAGGGCAGTTTTCCTTTTGCAATGGGAGTGGGGAGGGGAGGACTGCAGGATTAGAGAGAGAGAGAGAGAGACAGGCAGAGGGGAAGGAGGCAGGCAGGCAGGGAGCTGTGACTTGTCCAGCAGCATTTTTCACTCATCACAGATGAGCGGACGAGTGGATTTTTCAAGCCTTGCACATAACTTTATAATGTACTTATCAGTGCACAAAGACTAACGCATACCTGGGCCTTCCATTTTCCACCTTATAGATACCACTTTGGCTCTTCCTGTCTACTTCTCCATCCTTCTCATTGAATTTTGGAGAAAAGCCTTTTGCCCTTTTCAAGAAAGAAAGAAAAAACATGTTGAACGAGATTTTTATAAAATAATTTCACATTGATTTTCCTAGTCCTAAACATGGCTCTGTTCCAACGGAACTTATTTCCAAGCAAATGTGTGCAAGACCTGACAGAGCCATCCCAACTGTCAGCGAAGCACCCCCAACTGCTTCCGCTCACATTCATTCTGTTCTCCAAAATATCTATCGTGCTACCACTTCTGTACAAGGTGTGTACAGATTCTTTTCTTGACATTATGGAGGACAGGTCAAGTACCAGATGACTAGAGGAGAGCTAATACCCCAACCCTTTTAAAAAGGCAAAAGGAGGAACCAGGGAACAAACTTCTTGTGTCTGATTCCATTCACAAGATTCTGCTTACCATTTCCATTTATCCCAACTAAAAGGAAAACAATTGTCTCTAAAGCAAACCCTCCCTTCTCTTTTTTTTAAACATGTTCCTCAATGAAGAATGCTCACCCAATCTCTGGATCAGCCCATTTAGGTCCTGCCAACACACTGGGTGCTGTGTATTCCACTGGGTTGTAATCTTCCCACTCAACTAGCCAGTCCACCTTGACATTGGGGACTTCGCTGCGACAGACCCTGGATCTGGGATAAGGGGATGTTCTAGCTTTGTTATGCACGTTTTCTGTTTGACCTTTACAGTGTGACATTTTAGCAGCGTCACGGTGGAACCAACGCTCTGAAGATGTGCTGTAAGGAAGCAGAGACACTTATGCACAAGTCAAAATCAAATGAAGTATATGAAGTTTATGAATGCGACATAGGACTGAGGAAGTCCTTGATGGCTTATCTATCAAGTATGTAATGGATTAACCAATACTGTCAGATATCTTATAATACTGCCAAATAGCTCCCCTTTGCATACTGCACATAGGGAGCCTCACGGCGTTGTTGTTAAACTGCAGTACTGCTGTGAAGACTGCTCACAACCTGAGTGTGATCCCAACAAGTTCAGGCACTTGACTTGATGGCATGTGATGAGGATGATTCAAAAACGACTTCAGCAGTCAAATAATGACTCAGGGAGCTGGGCTTGATTATCAATAGGGCTCTTTGTAGCTCTGTAGTTCTAAGATTACGATTCATTTCATGGCTTTACAGTGGATTTGAATCCAGGTTTCCCCAAGTCTTAGCCCAGAGGAAAGCAACGTCTAGAAGTCTGAGGACACATCTGCTCATCTCTGGACTTTGGAGGGCCACATTTGCTCCCACACGAAAAAGTTTCAAAGTTGTTGCTTTTAACTGAAAAGCTCCAAAGTTCTCCACAATAATGAATTTTTTAATTATTGGGGAAAAAATGCTGTGAGCCCAAACATATGGCAAAATTTCCTCCCTCTTCCCTAGAAAGTCCAAGAGGACTTTCTCAGTCAACATATACTGGGGAGGCTCCTTGCGACCTCTGAGGACACGACTTGGGGACTCCTGTCCTGGTCTGTGGGACTGGAAGCGGGAAACCAGCTGTTCTCACTGGAGTGCCGTCTCCCCCTCCCCTCTCTATAGAAAAAGGGGTACAGACTTCTCCCGGGTCCCGTTCTCAAAAGACAGAGGCTACAGAAACAGACCCTCTGCCTATGAGAAGGAATGACGAAAGCTGACGTTTGGAGAAAGCGGGAAAGTATTGGCGGGACACGAACGAAAACCCTCCGGTAGAGGCAGAGGCGGGGGTTGCAGATATAAAGGGAGGGAGAAGGGGAACTGCCCACAGGTTGGGATTGGATATGGATGCAGGACCCATGGACGGGAAAATGGGAAAGACTCCGCATACCAAAGGAAGAGGCAGATTATAGAAGGAGAGAAGTGACCCCAAGACCATCCTATTGGGATGAGACGGAGGTGAAGGAGTGGAGGAGAAAGTTAAGGGAAGAAAAGGATCGGGTTGAGAGGGAAAGAAGGGAGAGGATTGAATGGAGGGTGATGGAGACCCAGTTAAGGGGATACTCGTTGGGCCGTGGCAGACCCTTACGCCCTCCAGGGAACCCATCTGGGTGGACCTCCAGGACGAGGACGCCGTACCCCTATTGGAAGGAGAAACCGGACCACTATTGAATCCTAATGTGGCAACAGACTGGCACTCTGTTGGGGGAAACCCCTTTAAAAATGAATGGAGGCCCCTCTCTGACCCGTTCTTAGGAAGTGATAAAAGTTGGAATGCGTTTGCAGATACTGGTTTCCTGTTAAATACGGCAATAAACGTTACTCCGATTTCCAAACCTCATTAAGTCGACTCGTTTACTTGGGGAGAAAGCAGAGCCACTTACAGAACCCCCTCACGAGGTCCATCACAACACCACACAGGCACCCACCGCGTTGAATCACCGATCTGTATATAAAGCAAAGGCACAGAAGCGTCCATCAGATCACGAGAGAAATTACCTGAAAGCAAAATTTCTGGCTGAATGGAAGAACGGGTAGAAAAACTGGCGGGAAGAAGACCGAGGAGCGACAGCCGATAGAGTGACGCTAAGAGAGACCACAGTAACGGTGTGGGCCAAGAAAGCTTTTGCCATCTATCCCATGCAGGGCGTTCACAAAGACCTGGATCCCTCGAGAGAGAGAGAGAAAGCACCACTAGCTGCGATGCGGCCTGGAAGCCGGCCGTGAGCAGATCAAGCAGGAAACATGTGAATGGGACACGTCCTGCCTTCTCTTCTCGGCTTCCTAGAAGACAAGAGTGAAAGTTGCTTTACACTTCATGCATCCAGTTATAGTTAAAACACACACATTCTGTTTTAGATCTTGGACTGTCTTCTCTTTTTGAGCTTAAGTTGTTGCTTTTAAGTAAAGCAAACCCTCTGTGCATGTAAAGAATTTTGCATTTTAATATTCATGTCTTGTGTAATATTGATTTTAGTATTACACACGACTTTAATACAGGCTACTTCTAAAAGTACTGTATAGAAATATATGAAACAAAATGTATTAGAATTGCAGGACACATCTGTCTGCTTATTCCAAAGCAAGTCCAATTGATTCACTGAGTTGTATTCCCAAATAATGGCATATAAACCTGCACCTTAATTACTGGGTAGATTAGTGGATAGTTCTGTTTTGAAAGGAGTGACAAAAATTCTTGATTATAGACAGCTTTTCCATTTACATATTTGGGGCTAGATGTTTTTCCCTAGAAGTATACTGCAATTTAACAAAAGCATTACGTCGATTTCCACCCAGACAGAACCTTGAGCTTCCATTTTATACCCTGCCTAACACTTCCTTGAGTAGGCAGTTAAGATCCACTAGCTTTACAAAAGACCCAGTACTAATAGAGATGACAATAATGTGTTGATATTACAGGGCAATCCTGCTGTCTGTATTTTCAGATTCAATCCATTGGGTGTTGTTGTTCTTGTTTAGTCCTGTCTGACTCTTCGTGACCCCATGGACCAGAGCATGCCAGGCCCTCCTGTCTTCTACTGCCTCCTCAAATTTGACCCAACTCCGGGAATCCATTGGGTAGGGGTAGTTTAAAAATGAGGATCTGACTTTCAAAATTTATTATTCCACAAGTAACCATGTAGAAAGCTGGCTGGATAGCTTGGTGGTTTAGGTCTCTGGCTGCAGATCCAGAAGTAGGGCATTTGATTCCCCACTGGGCCTCCTGGAAGAATAGAAGTTGGGCGTTTGATTCCCCGCTGGGCCTCTTGGAAGAAGAACCAGCCTGCAGGTGTACTGAGCAAGCTGCACAGCCCCACACGATGAACCCAGCCTGGGGGTGCACTGAGCAAGCTGCACAGCCCCACACGATGCCCCTCAAAAGAGAAGGTAATAGAAAACCACTTCTGAGTATTCTCTACTGGAAAACCTGGAAAGGGTTGTTGTAAGTCAGAATCAGCACAACGGCACAGAGTTATTATTTTCTCACCATGTTGAGGCACATAAGAATCGTGCATGTTCAGATATGTTGAAAATTATTCTGGAAGGTTTGCTATTTCATGCACCTGCAACAAAAGGCTGCATTGACAAAAAAAATTGCTATTTTCTGTTCCCAGAATTGAGGTCTTTTTTCTTTTTTTCTTTTTCTCTTTTCTTTTCTTTTCTTCTTCTCTTCTTCTTCTTCTTCTTCTTGCAAAGGGCCATGCAATTTTTCACATTTTTATTCCAGTTCTTGCAATCTTTGCAATTTTTTTCACATTTTTATTCCAGTTCTTGCAAAAAGCATTGCTACAAAATATTAACCCTAGCCAAGACAAGCCTTTACTGTACTATATTCATTAAAGCCTGGTTTATGCACTTAAGTTCTTTCTTCCTGGACAAGTGAAAACAAATGAACACATTTTGTCAGGTGGGGGCAACACATATAAGCAAAAGACACCCCCACACTCCAAGTCTTTCACCTCTATATAGTGAAACTTATAGGGTTACACCTCATCTCATCATTTATGGGAAATCCAGGTTTTCCGTTATTCATCTGCTTTTATTTTCTAATTACCACCGCAAACAATTTAAACCAGATAGGACTGTTCCCTGATGATCAAGAGGCTCCTTCTTATCAATATTGAGTACTGTACATCAGTGGTCCCCAACCTTGGGCCTCCAGATGTTCTTGGACTTCAACTCCCAAAAATCCTGGTCAGCAGAGGTGGTGGCGAAGGCTTCTGGGAGTTGTAGTCCAAGAACATCTGGAGGCCCACGGTTGGGGACCACTGCTGTACATGGATGCCTTCGTTTACCTGAAATTCGGGTTCGTGAGCTCTCTATTTTCCTATCTCTATGGTTGTCACATTCAGGGTCTTATGACTGAAGCCATGCCGTTGAGAGATTCCAGAGAGATACAAAAGTGTAGAGTAGCCTACTCCCTTTTCTGACGCTTGTTTTCCTTTGGGTGTCCCCGTTTAGGGATACCAACCAGGAACACAAACACACCTTTAGGGAGTGACTCCCCAGCTCTTCAGATGAGTCACAAAAGAAGAAGAAAAACAGATTTATTTCCTCTTTTAATAATTAAAAAAAATCAGATGGGCAAAGACGACAACACACAGCCAGCCAAGCTCCTGCTGGTTCTGCCTGAGCCATTTCAGGAACTTTAGTGTTTTTTTTTTTAGAAAGTAACTTTTCCCATCTCTGTGGAGCTACTCAAGGGCATGGAAACGTGGAGGTTTCTGGGAGTTGTAGTCCAAAAAAAGGAACTACTCCAAAGCTTCTGAGGCAGTCCCTGGGGGAGAACTCGCACCCAAGCCTTGATGCTGCCTGGCCATGGGGGGGAGAGAGTAAGAGCCAGGCTCCTGAATGGAGCATCTGGGGGGGACCCCAAATTTGGGGGATCGAGACCCCTTCTTGTTGCTCCGGGCGGGGGTCACCCTTTGTTCGCTCCTAGAAGGGGGAAAGCTGGGCAAGGTGGAACAACAGAGGGGTTTTTTGGGG